ACGTGTGTGTGTGTGTGTGTGTGTGTGTGTGTGTGTGTGTGTGTGTGTGTGTGTGTGTGTGTGTGTGTGTGTGTGTGTGTGTTATAATTTACAAAAATCTCTCACTCCTCAGACTTATTTTTGCCATGACCTTGTGTCAGAAACATGATTGCATGTGCAGTAATCTCTGCTTTGAGCTCTAAACCATATAGTAACTATAGTAACTATTGGAATCTCTTATGTGATAATATCTAATAGCATGTAAAATATTTTGAGTTCCCTTATAATGCCAGTAAGTCCTTAATACTGAATCTGATCCTTCACCACATGCTTTCTTGTCTTCCCTTGGTGGCTACAAGTAATTATTTTAATTTACCTGCTTTGGGATGTGAGCAGTTACAGACATGCAAGAGAGGCTTGTCAGTCTTACACCATTGCACGCTCTGCATGAGGAGGAACTGCTATAGATAGGGTAACATTTTCAAAAGTGCCTCTGTCCCAGAGCCGTCCCTTGGGTAGGGCAAATCAGGGAGACCAGCCCGGGCCCCGCGCTTCGATAAAATTGGGACTGTCCTGATATTTAGCCCTTTGTCCCGCGTCCCAAACTCCAGACTTCGGTGGAATCCTGTTGACTCCAGTGGGGTTCTGCACAGATTAGGTGTCAATCTACACCAGGGGTTCTCAAACTGGGGGTCGGGACCCCTCAGGGGGTCACAAGTTCTTACATGGAGGGTTGCGAGCTGTCAGCCTCCACCCCAAACCCCGCTTTGTCTCCAGCATTTATAATGCTGTTAAATATATAAAAAGTGTTTTTAATTTATAAGGTGGGGTCACACTCAGAGTCTTTCTATGTGAAAGGGGTCCCAGTACAAAAGTTTGAGAACCACTGAGAACTCATCCTAGGATCAGGGTCATAGTGATTGTTACACAGAGATAAGCAACTGGGTATTGTGTTCTTCTGGCAGTAAATTTGGTACAATAAATGTATTTTGTGTCGTATAGTTTAAGAGCTGATGTAAAGAGCTGCACATAGGAAGCCATTTGCAGTCCACAACAACAAATTTATTAGACCTACAAAATCTTGGAACCATGCTACATATTATTGGACACTGTCTTTTGCTACCTTATCTATGAACTATTTACATATACACAGCTCTAGAGCTCTTTCATAATATATTCTACACAGTGTTTTATGGGCATGTGCACAGTGGAGTGTCTGGGACAACATAGCCATAGATTTCTATGGAGTTCTGTATTGTTTATGGGTAACTAATTAACAGTTTACTACAGACCCCAAGCTGCCGAGTTCAAATCTAGAATATTTCCAAAGTTCAGGGGTGCTTAGATCTGGGATTTTGATTTGGCCCTATCTCTCTACATCACACTAAGCATAACATGATGTAATCTTAAACCTTGTTAAATGTTTGCTGTGTCACAGATGTAGTGTCAATCGCATGTTGGGTAGCATTTTCTCCAGCTGTTTGAAAATAAAATATCTTTCCTAAGTGTGTCTTCTTTGTTTTTTTTTTATTTTTCTTCTCCCTGAGCTTTGGATAGTTAAAATGCATATGGCTTCTGCTGTTTGTATGGCAACATTGTGATGTTAGCAGCAGGGTTCTAGGAAAAGGATTTGTAAGTCTATTGCTCGTTATAGTTTCAGATGAGGACGCTAAAGAGCAAAAACTGTTGTGATTTTGTAGGTCCTGCAAAATGGTTAATTTCACCCATATGATTGTGAAATTAAACAAATAAGAGATTTGAGGGCTCCTCTTTAGTTTCTTCAGCTAATGTTTGTTTTAGGTTTTAGCCCTTTTAAATATATAAAGTGATAATTTTTTTATTATGTTCAAATTCTAAGGCCAAAATGTTCAAATCTTAAATTCGACTACTCTGACAACAAGAAGTAAATAACATAACTGTAATCAGTGTTTTGGGGACACAATAGAAACACAATGTGTCTAACAGCTCTGCAGCATCCAGAAACACTACCACATCAGTGAATGGCAATGGCGTTGGTGGGCAGAGAAGTGAGCAAAACAGAATGGTCTTTGATTTTGTTACTTTAGAAACAGAGGGGGCAGTGGGAATTAGCACTTGTCGAAAGAAAAAGTGAAAATTATTGGGGAATTAAATATTTTAAGCTTCTCTGGTGGTTTAAAAAATCCTGGAGATTAAAAAAATCAATATAAAGTTATTCTAAGTAGGTGATCATGTCACTTGAACAGAGAGAATGACTCAGTGATGGATCAGTCTCAGCTGGCTGGGGGAGTATTTATAACCAGCTCAATTCCTGTGTATGTGTGCAGGTGGCTCTTCGGATTCGTCCAATCAATGAAGCTGAGCTGGAGGAAAACGCTGCTATCATAGCCCACAGAGTGGGTGACCAGGTGAGGTTTGAGCAAAGCAGCATGGGTGAGTTTACAGCTTAGCTGGTAGCTAATGGCTTCTTGGAAGGAGAACCCCGGGGCTTAAGTGTTAGTGCCTCTGTCAGGATGAAGAACAAACACAGTGACTCACTTGAACATGGAAAGGGTTATGAGATGTTACAAGTTCTGCAAACCTGGGCAGTGGTTGTTAGGGCAGCTACAAAATTTGCAGAGCCCTGAGAAGTCCCCAGATTCCCAGGGCTGGGAGCCAAGAGGAAGGTAGGCAACTGAGCTGCTTTCATGACATTTGTTTGAGGGGAAAGAAGGGAAGAAGAGGGGATTACCCTTGAGAGAGCTCCTACAGGAGTTGGCTCATTCTCAACCTGTGTGAATTGCCTGCAGGGCTAGGTTCATGAAACTGCCCAGGAACTAAACCGTGGAGGATTCACCAGGGCTGCTTGAAAGACATTATATCCAAAGACAAAACTGTGAATTTTGGAAAGTTTGAAAACATAGGAAATACCAGATTGGTTCAGACCCAAGATCCAACAATGCTCAGTACCAGCAGCTTCAGAGGAAGACGCAAGAAACCTTGCATTAGGCAGATGTGGGATAATCTCCCTCCTGTATCAGGTCTCTAAATCCCTCGTAGGTAGAGACAGGTTTAAACTAGGGGTTCTCAAACTTCATTGCACCACAACCCTTTTCTCAGAACAAAAATTATGACACGACCCCAGGAGGGGGGACCGAAGCCTGAACTTGCCCATGCCCCACCACCCTAAGCGGGGGACAAATCTGAAGCCTGGATTTGTCCCCCGCTTAGAGTGGACACCGTCCTGGGCGTCCAGGCAGTGGGGCTCAGGCTTCTGTCCCAGGCCCCAGCAAGTCTAATGCCAGTCATGGCAACCCCATGAAAACCGGGTCTTGACCCATTTTGGGGTCCCAACCCACAGTTTGAGACCCGCTGCTTTAAACCATGAAGCATTTGGTTTAATATTCCTTCTCAAATTTATGCTAACATGATCTGTTATAACCCTGGATGTTCTTTATATCCATAGAAATGTTCAATCTCTTTCTGAATCTTGTTAAATTCTTTGCCTCAACAACGTCCTGTGGCAATGAATTCCACAGTTTCAGCACATATTGTGTGGGGGGGAAAAATCCTTTTATCAGTTTTGAATGTGCCGGCTTTTAATTTCATGGAATGTCCCATTGTTCATGTGTTATGAGAAGGGAGAACAGAAGCTCCCCATCTACCTTCTCTAGATTATTCATTATTACATAAACTTTCATCATGTCCCCTCTTATTCATCATCACCTTTCTAAGGCAAACAATCCCATGCTTTTCAATCTCTCTTCGTATGACATTTTCTCCAGGTCCTTAATCAGTTTCATCAGCTTTCTTTGAACTCCCTCTAATTCTGCAATAGCCTCGCTGAGGTGGGGTGACCAGTACTGCACACCGTATTCCAGATGAGCAGACCTTAGGGCTGTGTCATGTGGGAACAAGGAACTGCTGTGAAACATCCAGGCTGCCTTTTACATCATAAAGAAGTGAAAAGGGAACAAATCTATTTTTCCCTGTACAAATTATCTTACAAGCCTGGTTTCCATTTACTGAGTTATTTGTGGCACATCATTCTTTAAAGGCCATCAAGCTGGCTCAATCACAAACTTTATTTTTGTATAGCTTATTTATAGACCCCCTCCCAGCCCTGAGCTCTGTTTTCCTCCAGTGGACAGGGAAGGATTCAGATATTGCAATGGTTTAAGGATAATTTTTACCCTGGAGAATCTCTCTCTCCTAGCCATGAAAATGACCGTAACAAATGAAGTGAACATGGGTTCTTAGGCAGTTGAATATCCTTGGTGGTTTCTTAGATAACGTTACTATTCTGATCTCAAGTATAGTTTACTTGGAGCCATTTACACCCCTTCACTGATGCCTAAAACAAAACTGAAAGGCTTATGCCGCAGCAGTTCAGTCCACTAGTGAACTGGTTTATAATTTTGTGTATGTTTTCATAATGCCTGTCAATCAAACAAGGCATTAACCCTGGACGAATGAAGCTAACTTTGTTTTTGCTATCTAATTAAAAATAAACTTTAAAGTGAGGTGGAATATAAGATCCCAACTCCACATGAAATCAGTCGCAGGATCAGGGCCTAAAAGTATTACAGCCCACATTTCCAAAGAAAACGCCTAAAATAAATTCTCTGTGCCCAGTTGTATGGGTGGAATCCAAATCACACAGACAGACACTTAAGCATTTACCAATTTTGCATGTGCAACTACAGATTATGGGCACAAATCAGGAGGGTCTTTTGGGCATTTGCCCCTAGATATTTACTATTTTCAATTCTTTTTCATCTGCCTAGCTCAGAAAAAATTGCTTTTCTCTAGCAAGTGAAATTGTGAAAGTAATTAGCCTCGGATGTTTACTGGATACTTTTGGAATTTTAGGCTGGGGGAGAGGAATAGAAAACCCCGCCAAGCTCTTGACATTTCCAGACCAGCTACTGGGGATTTGTCCTACATCTTTCGTATCTAGTTACATGATTTTACTACAGATTAGCAACCAAATGCTGTAACTATTTTGTAGATCAGGTGGTTGATGATCTGCACTGTCAACACTTAATTAGGTATTTATCTGAGAGACGGCAAAAGCTCCTGGGGAGGATATGGTGCATGGTTTCCCCTCTAATCCCCCTTGAGGCCAGAACACCTCTTATGAGCTGTTCCAACAGAGGGGAAGGAATACACTTTTTCCATCATAATTATGTATTTATGTGAGTGAGCAAAATTGGTCCCAAGGGAATCAGGAAAAACAAAACCTGTTTTCTAACCTGCCATAAAATATTTTTCTTTTGTTTTCCCCCATTTTTTTCTAATAAAAGTCACAAAAGGAGCAAGTTTCTGGCCTTGAGTAGAGCTGATACTTCCACTGATCCCTACACAGGAAAGGTTTGGGGGGATTTTCCTCGTGCACTTTTGATCCCAGTGAACTTAATTTGTTTCTTTATTGGTTCCCTTGTAATTTGAGAATATTCCAATTCCCACCCTCTTGCCTAACAATAAAAATGGAAGGGGCCAATTCTCCTCTTATTCACAGTAAGGGGTGGTCTTCTGCCATAATTGCTAGTTACCCATGTGACCTCAGCTGGTGATCGTATGAGTTGTAGGGCTTCAGTGTGACTAAATTAGGCCCCAAAGCATCTCAGACTTGGTATTATGCATGTATGTGTTTTTTTCCACATATTGCCATAACGCAACACTCCTGTGATGATTCGTGAATACTAGTGATTGACGTTATAGAAGATCCTAAGATAGATAGCTGGGGAATCACTGGCTTTTCTTGATTGCAACTTCCACTTGATTTCCGTTACAGATCCAATTAAGGATGTAAAGATTGTTCTCTTTGTCTTTATTTTGTCACAGATGGTGGTTCTGATGGACCCAAGTGAAGATCCAGACGACATCTTGCGAGCCAATCGATCCCGAGAGAAGACATTTATATTTGATATGGTTTTTGATCACAAAGCGACCCAGGTAACGTTCCCTCCCTTTCCAAAAGGTGTGGTTTACAATTGGGAATCTTTCCTTTCCATGGATATTTGGTTTGACAATGTCAGTAATAATGTGCATCCCAGAATCTACGTGGTGTCCAGTGAAAAGGCAGTAGCGCTAAGTAGAAGCAGGCAGCAAAGGCTCTCTTCTCTTTATTGTGATCTGCAGTATAGAACTCACTCTTTATCTCTCCCTCCTTAGGGACAGCATCACCCAGCTCTACACTATGAGTAAACAGAGTTCTGGAGCTGAGAGCCAGAACTCCTGGGGCCTCTGGTGAACGAGATCATAGTTACCTTGTTTGGGTCCTTCTATTGTGTGTGCTCCTCTCGTCTTTCTCTGTTGTTTTTTATGGACAAGGCTCTGTAAAAGGAGGCATGTTCCTGAACCCTAGTCCAGTTAGGCAGGACTGATGCACACAGCTGTGTGCTGCGATAGAAGGGGTGAGAAACTGATTAATGTATGAAATAATGGACTCTAGGGAAGTTACTTGTTCTGCCTATCTGCAAATGTCTAACGGGTCTATCACAGTGACATCAAGACATCGCAATTTATTTATCTAAGGATTTACTGGAGAGCCCATCATCATAATATCTTCTAAGCAACCAACAAGTATTTAATCTCCACAATATGTGGTCCAGAATTGACTGCATAGTGGAGGTTCTAGGGAGTCTTCTAGAGTATTTCTTTATTCCCTCCCATGTCAGTGTATCCCTGACACATGATATGCCTTGGAAGGCTTGTTAACTAGGTGGGTGTCATAGCATGTTCTGAGGATGGCCAGGGTCTGACTTACTGGTCCCTCTTACTGGTAGCTCATTCCAGACTTACGCCCCCTTGGGAATACTGCATGTGCATGTAGAGGTGACATGCCTGGTGCCGTTTATCACGGGTCTATGACTGCAACACCTGTTCACCCATCTCCCTGGCACTTATTTGAATATTCCAAACCTGTTAGCAGCTTCACACAGACACTTTGGGGAAGAGTCACCGCTGGTAGAAATAGTCACGGCTCTGTTGGAGGCAATGGAGCCATGAACTTCATTCTTTTAGAACAACCTGCCAGACAAGGTTCCCTCAGGGCTCCCCTTGCATGTGGAATAATACCTTTGTCTGAAGTCCAGGATGGACAAGATTCAGTCCGCAGCTTTAAAATAAAAATGTCGCTGCATTAAATTCCAATAACTCATGGCCCCGTGGGGAGAGAGATAGGAGAATGGGAGCTTTATACCATTGGAGGGGGAAATTCCAGCTTTCCCGTAGGTCACAGCCCCTGCTTCTAGCCCTGGAAGGGCCTGGGGTACTGGACTTTAGAACAGTGATATTTATGTACAGCAAAGCTATATTGGGTCATTTTTTGAAGATTTTACATTTATGAATTTTAATTTTTCTCTCTCTCTGAGCCCAGCACAGCCAATTCCTGCTAAGGTGCCTGGCCTTACAGGCAGAGGGATACAAGAAAGAGTTCCAATGCATTTTTAGAAAGAATTTTTCCTTAACCTATTTAACATATAGCTAATGATTATGTTGTGTTATGCTGTATTTGGCATCTACGCTATGGTGTGATATGAAGACTTTATCAGCACTTATTCGGGATGGTCTGTATTACACACATGGCTGCGGTTCTTGTGAGTAATGCAATCATCTCAGAAGAGTGGCGACAGACCCTTTCTACTTCCCCACAGAGTATTCCCTTAGATCCGCGGTTCTCAAGCGTTAGCAACCCAAGGACCCACATTTTGATTTAAATTTTTTTGCAGACCCTCAAGCCCCCTGCTCAGCCCCAGGCTCCGCCCCCACTCCACTCCTTCCCACAAGGCCCCACCCCTGCCCCTCCTCTTCCACTCCTCTGTCCACCCCCTACCCCAAGTCACTGAATATGTTCCCTGGTGTGTAGGAGGCACTGGGAGGGAGAGGGAGGAGTTGAGGGAAGGGGAGGAGTTGATCAGCAGGGCTGGCAGACCCCCGGTGGACCCTAGTTTGAGAAACACTGCCTTATATTATAATTAGTATATTGTATATTTATGAAAATATATTATATGTGTATGTGTGAGAGAGAGAATGCAGTGTGTGTGTCCTCATCTATTCTCTGTGTTGTATGTAACTTCCCCATCTATGGTTATATTATAATAAAGTATCTTTTTTAAAGAGTGTCTGTGGTGGACTGAGGACTGTACTAGAACTAAATGCTGCCACTTCGTGTGTGTTCTGAATTCTAAGAAATAAAGTAGGGGTACGTTGCTACCTTCCAGCAAGAGTGTTAGTGTTTTTATCTAACTTCTCTGTGTGTATGCTGCAAACATGACAGTCCGCTGAAGCATGGATGGCACTAGCGAGGACATGATCACAAACAGTATTTTCATCTTTGTTCCACTGATGCAAAGAATCTAGCTGAAACGTTCCCAATTCAAAATCTAAGAAAATAATCAAACTTTATTTTTGGACCCTGACATGCCGCACGCATCTTTAGATACTTCAGCAAGACCTCTACCTTATTAGTTGTTTTGATGATTTGGCAAAATCATTTTGTTCTATGAAGCCAGAAATGGTTTTGAAGCCCATAGACTTTGTAAAGAGAAAATGAATGTGCTGAGTGAACCATAGAGAACGAGAAAGGGATGTTGTGACAAGTTGAGACATTGGATACTTGTCAGCTGGAAAATATTGTTATGCCTGACCCAAGACTTATGCTGTTTCTGACTGACTAGGAGGAGGTGTACGTGTCCACGACCAAAAACTTGGTAGAAGGAATCATTTCTGGATACAATGCAACCGTTTTTGCATATGGCCCAACAGGTAACATAAATAAAATATTATACCACAGGGGGAGCAATAGCTGCAGGGACTGGATTTGGAGCCAGGGTTGGGGAGCGATAACTATAGGGACTTGATCTGAAGTAACAAGGCCAATTAACTGATCACTTCAGAGCAGCAAAAATACCATTCTGGCTGTGAGATGTGACTCTTTAGTTTAAAAGTTAAAGCAACAGCAAAGCTGTAGTAACTTTGAAAATAGATTTAACATTGGAGAGAAATGTTTCCTTTCCAAAAAGGGTGAGGGAAAGGAGGGCTTCTCTGTGCAAAGCTGAGTCTGTGTGATAATCACACAGGAGGGCAGATCTGGCTGCTGATAAACTGCCGTGGATTATATTAGAAGATATTTTTTCTCTGGAAGTTGATCTGTGCTGCTCTTCCCTGTATCTTTCACAGGGGCAGGGAAAACCTACACTATGCTAGGGACAGACTGTGATCCTGGGATCTACATCCGCACCCTAAATGACCTCTTTAAAGCCATTGAGGCAACCAGTGACAACATGGATTACACCGTCTCCATGTCGTACCTAGAGGTGAGGTGTCTTTGTTTTGTCATGTGGACCAATTCTGTGTAGAAGATGCTTTAAAAGAATAGCTTAGAGACACTCCTGCTGGGAGTAGGGTGACCAGATCACCCAGGTCAAATATCTGATCGGGGGGGG